TCTAAGTGGGTGCTTTAGACCACTGAGCCATCTCACCAGCCCTAACAAACGGTTTTCAAAAAAAAAATTATTATTACCATTCATTTTGCCTGTGTTTTTTCCTTTTAAAATAAAGATTACCTATATGACTCATGTGACCCTTCTGTGGGACAGCACTCTCTAGGGACTAGGAATAAATCAGCCTCAGTCATGTTCTGGGGGTGACAGAGACTAAACAGACCACAAACATGTCACTTGGCTCATGGGTACTATGAAAAGAAGTGACACTGGGAAGGGATAGAGATGACAGGGCTGCTGGTTTACTGAGGGAAGAAGGGCTGGTGGTGGGTAGGTGAGGGGAAGAGTGCTCTACTAGTGGTACAGCCTCCCCAGACCAGATGAGTGGCCTCCACAGGAAGGTAGGCGCAGACAGGTACCCAGTCCAGCACGACTCCCCCTGCCCATCCTGCAAGCCACCTGAGCCACCTCTTCCCAGTCCCCATGCACCTCAGCTTCCTCCACCTCCAAGGTCAAGGGGGGCCCAGCTACTCACCTTCTGTGGCTGGCCGACCGGCCCAACTCTCTGGCAGGTCCATGGGCCACACTTGCCTCTGCACAGCTCCCTGGCAAGGCTACCAGCTTCTCCCCAAGCCTGGGAAGGACAGGAAAGGGACCAGCTACCCAGAGTACCTGTAAGGACAAACAAGTCACGAGCATTCTCAGTCCAGCCACCCTTGGGTGGGGACCCACCCTCCCTACTATGCCTGGGCCCTCTGTGTTCTCAGAACCTGTTTGCCAACCCTGCCCACACCAGACTGCTTCCACTCTGGTCTGTTTTATGGTTGGCAAAACAGGACCTCAGGAGTGGGTGGTAGAGATCAAAGGGCAGTAGTGGGAGGGACCACTACGCCCCTTAGGGAATCAGGGTGAGTCTCTTTACTCTCCTGCCTTAGGTCCCTAGCCTTGTCCCTCTGGCCTGACTATTCTGTACCCTCCTTTCCCACACCCCTGTCCCAGGGGCCTCATGGCACTCTTCTAAGCCTTTAGCCATTCCCACGAGGCTCCAGAGCCAACCTGCACTCCCCTTCCCTGGTTTCCCAGCACCAAGAACTGAGTCTGATGGGATTTGCCCACAAAGACAGCCCCATCCCAATTACACTAAATTCTCCAGCAGCTCTGAACTGTATCAAATTAGCCCAGATGTCTCCATCTCTGGTCTCAGCCTGGGACACTGAGCTTGTTTTCTTGTCTCTGCTCCCTGAAAAGCATTTCTCACCTGTACCCAGGATGAATAAGGTGTGTTTGGACTCCCCATATGGTCCTGGCAGCTGAGATTCTTTTGTTCTTGCCATTTTTCTTTTTTGAGGCATGACCCTACTATGTAGCCCAGACTGGCCTTGAATTGAAGGCAATTCTCCTGCCTCAGCCTCCTAAGTGATAGGATTACAGGTGTGCGCCATCATGCCTAGTTCAGCGGCTGGCATTCTTGCTGTTTTATCTTGTATTCAGATGACTAGCCCATCTTTTTTTTTTTTTTTTTGGTGGAACCGGGGATTGAACTCAGGTCCTTGCACTTGCCAGGGAAGCGCTTATTCCACTGAGCCATCTCCCCAGCCCACCACTAGCCCATCATGGCAGTTTGACCCTGTCTTTCCTGTTTCCAGCCCTCCTGTGGCTTCCTAGTACCCTTGGATACTGACGTTGGAGTGACACATGCAGTTCCTTAACACTTTTTGTCATTTTTTTTTTTTAACTAACACACTACATACATTCTTCTTAGTGGTTAATTGCTGTACAAGATGCGGACTTGAGATCCTATTTACAAACACCATTAGAACATATCATTCTATTCATTAACAGAATGTAACTATATATCTATCCTAACCACTTTGAATACACAGATACAAAATGGACATTCATCTGTATACCCTTTTTTTGTTAAGTTCCGTTATTTGAATATTATAGGTGTGTAAACTCAGCAAAATATTCTAAAAGAGTCCAGTAGCCCATAATAGCATTGGGTCTTCTGTTTAAACTTTTTGTCACTTTTTTCTCTTCCTGAAAACCCCTAAATCTCTCTCTCTGTGTGACCCACAGGTGCTCAGAGTCATCCCCCAAACTTGCTGGTCTTGGGACCCAGATCAGGATGGCTGAGTACCTTTAGGCCCAAGCCCCATACCCTACCTCTGCTTGTCTGTGGCCCTACTCCAGGCACTCAGGCCCCTGGGGAGACTTTTGGAGTCCCTGGACAATGAGGAACTCCCACGTCCTGCCTCACCTCTAGCATAACCAGGATGACCATTCCACTTAGTGTCCCAACTCCACGGTACTTTTCCACAGAACGAGTGTTTGTAGGGGGAAACTACCCGCTCGGGGATCCCCCTCCTGTCCCTTTCTTGGACAGAAGCTTTCTTTCTCTCAATAAATATATTCTGCCAAAAAAAACATATATATATATATATATATTCTGCTCATAACCTCTGTTTGTTCCACCTAGATCATGGGACAGAGGTATGAGCTTGCTTTTCTTTTATAAATTCTGGCTGCTCATTAAAAAAAAAAAAAAAAAGACTGTTTGTAGCAGTTACACTAGCCACAGCACCCCTGGGGCTTAAAGGCACCCAGGAAAAGGTCAAGGAAGGTGGCCAGGCCTGTCCTCTCCCTTTCTTCACCACATGACCCTAACAGCCCACTCTCTGGTGACATGCCACCTGTCAGCTGCAGTTTCTCAGTGGCCTTTAGTGGGTCTCAGAAAAGGGTCCCTGGATGGACACAGGGGTTGATGGCCAGGGCCCAGGTGTGTGTCCCTTGAGAGTCCTGACAGGCCTGGAGCTCTGGCAGGTCAAGGGACAATGTCCCGAGGGATTAGGCAGGCCGCTGTCACTGGAAGTCTGAGGGGAATCTGGGGGGAGGGATTGAGACAGGTCTCACTATGTAATCAAGGCTGACCCACAACTCACGGCAATCCTCTCACCTCAGCCCCTAGAAGTGCCGGGATTACAGGTTTGTGTCATCACACCTGGCTGGGGAGATGGACTGAGTCCGGAAAGAGCAGGTCCCAGGCGGAGCTTTGGGGAAGCAAGATTTAGGGGTCTCTGGTTGGATTTGGGGGCTCATGAGTTTCTGAGCCACCCGCAGGAAACTAACAGGCTCTGAGAAGGGCAACAGAATTTGTGGGAGATTCTGACAGAATTTCAGGGGTCGCCTTCCATATTTCCTACTGGGTTCCTTGCGACATTTCTGGGCGAATCTGGCCAGGGTTTCTAAGGGCCTAGTTTTGGGGAGTTTCTCTTATAACTTTGGGAATTTTGTCAAAATTGAGATGGGGCCTTCTAACAGGGGTGCTATGGACAACAGTGCCACGGGCTGGGTGTACCTGAAGTCGGGTACCACACTTGGGATACAGCTGAAGGCCTCGAGCGACTAACGGCAGTTGCCAGCCGACTGGGAAGACGGGCGCATGCGCCCTTCCTTCCAAAAAAAAACGTGCTGCGCAGCCCGTGGCACGCAGCCCTTGCGTCTCGAAGCCCCGCCCCGACTCCTCCCACTGCGCAGGCGCACACTGAGGGTAGGCGCGCGCCGAGCTAGTCTGGTCCGCGATTGCGCATGCGTGTGACTGCCCTGGAGGCGCACCCAATGATTAGGAGCCGGCAGGTGCGCGCCAGCTGAGCGCTGGACCGCTGTAGGGTTTGTTGTTGTTGGAACATAAGAGAGGATATTTAGTCTGTTGTTCTGAGATCTTCTGTTCAGCATTAAGCTTTGATAAAATAGAGCCGTGTGCTTTTTTTTTTTGAGACGAGGTATCGCTATGTAGTTTGGGTGGCCTTTGAACTTGCAGGGCTACAACTGAGGCTGGCCTCGAATTTGCAGCAGCCCTCCTGCCTCAGCAGGAGTGCTGGGTTTACAGGCGTGCACCAAAACACCCGGTTTGCGGTTGTATCAATAGCTCCTTGAAAGCTTTCTCCGAAATCTTTTCGCTCATTCCTTTTTGGACAGAATAGGGGAAAACTACTTTTATGGGTTAGAGAATAGGGTTATATACAGAATTGACACCCCCCCCCCCCACGCCAGGATATTTAGTGTCAGGGTGTATAGGGTGTGTGCCTGTAATCCTAGCAACCTGGGAGGCTGAGGCAGGAGGGTCATAAATTCGAGCCCAGCCTGCCCGGTTTAAAGGCTTAACGAGATTTTGTTGGGAGGAGGGGAGAAGAAGCTGTATTTGTGAACGAGTGACTTACTCACCTTCCCTGAGTTTCAGTTTCCTCCTAGAAATGGAGATGATCCTGGCTTCTTAGGTTGCCATGAGGACTTTAGGTGCTAACCCTAGGCTTCTGGAAGTTAATTGGTAGTTATTATTTTGGGTGATCGTGTTGGCTTGTTTAACTCCTGGAAAGGAACCTGTTCAACAGGTGGCATGTCGAGTGGTTAAAAGGGAAAGAAGAATCAGGCAAATCTAGTGCTACAGGTGCCACTGCTCTGTGACCAGGCCAGGTGACCTCAGCTCTCTGAACCTCAGCTTCTCTAGATTGGAAAGAATAAGATCCGCTTCATGAATTCTTTTTTTTAAATATTTATTTATTTTTATTTATTACATTTATTTATTGTGTGTGTGTGTGGCCAGCTCAGCCCACCAGGGGGCGGGTCTGGCTGGCATGTGGTGCTGGGGATCGAACCGCGGTCCCTGTGCTCTGCCAAGCCTGTTTCAAGTAGGTGCTTTAGACCACTGAGCCATCTCTCCAGCCCCATGAATTCTTTTTTTGCTTGTTTGTTTTTGTTTTGTTTTGAGGCAGGGTCTTGCTATGTACTGCAGGCTTGCTTTGAAGTCTGTCCATCCCAGGGTAGCCTCAAACTTGGGGCAATCCTCCTGTGGCAGCCTCTCAAGTGTTGGGATTAAAGGCGTGCACCACCACACTGGGCTAATGAGGTTCAATAAGGGTTCAGTAAGAATGAATATCAACTTCTGCCACAGCAACCATCGAAGAACAGTAGCCATGGCCCTCCGCTGTCCCATGGCCATGGCCCTCCGCTATCCCATGGCCATGGCCCTCAACAAGGGCCACAAGGGGACTAAGAATGTGAGCAAACTGAGGCACAGCCGCTGTCGCAGATGCCTCACCAAACACACCAAGTTCACTCAGGACATGATCCTGGAGGTGTGCAGCTTTGCCCCCTCCTAGCAGCATGCCATGGAGCTGCTCAAGGTCTCCAACAACAAACGCGCCCTCAAGCTCATCAAGAAAGGGGTGGGGGTGAGGAGATAGCTCAGTAGAATAAGCGCTTGCCTGGCAAGCACAAGGGGCTGAGTTCAATCCCTGGTTCTGCCAAAAACTAAAGAAAGAAAAGGATAGGAGGGGCTGGAGAGATGGCTCAGTGGTCTAAAGCACCTACTTGGAACAAGCTTGGCAAAGCACAGGGACCACGGTTCAATCCTCCAGCACCACATACCAGTCAGCCGCGCCCCCTGGTGGGCTGAGCTGGCCACACACACACACACACACACACA